ACGTCGAGTATCAAGACAAACTCTGTACTTCTTATTTCCATTAGCGTCAGTACCAGCCTTTGGTGTGATTGTTAAGGGACTATTGAAACCAGATATTTTTGCAGGTTCAATTGTTTTGTCATCAGCCCATTTTCTAATTTGTTCTCTGACAATAGGAACCAAATCGTATGAAATTGGATACTGTCTCGTGTATGCCACTTCATTAGGTGTAGTGGGAAGATAAACAATGGCTTCCGGTAGAGGGCAAAGGTTATGAAGGTTAATATTTGCATTCGCTTCCATCAACGGCTTCATTTCCTCGATGAACTGTTCATATTCTTCTTCAGAACAAGCTTTGCTCACATTAGGAGTGTACACTTCATGATTAACACTATCTTCAAAGACAATTTCCTCGATGTCTTCAAAAGAGTAGGCAATGTTCTGAATCGAAATTCCCAGTTGTGGAATTAAATCTCTCCCTAACAAAACTGGTAGATTTGCTAGCGGCATTTCCACAACTTCGAATGAGTGGGAAAATGGTGTTCTACCTCTATATTTCACTTCTAGAGGTCGTGTTTTACCAATCCGACTGGCTGTAGAATTTTTATCAATAAATGAAAATGTACCAGTGGCAGGGATTATATCATCAAAGATAGTTTTATCCTCAAATTCATAGGTTTTATTTATCAAAGATATTTGTGCACCTGTGTCAATCATAGCAATTAGTTTCTCACCATTGATCATGATAACGGGAGAATATGGCGACAAATTCTGTACTTCGTTCTCAGTTATGTTTGAGACATTATAGCAAGAAATCTGTGATCGAATATCATCTTTTAAAAATATATGTTTATTTTTAGCTGGATCAGAGCTAGTAAGAAAATTTTTATAGTATGAAGTTTGATCAAAATGATGGTTGCCAAGAGGTAGAGATGAGTATGAGTTTTCAATATCATGTTCTATTTTGCTATACAAAATGAGTATTTGGTCAGTGATACTCTTTTTATATTGAATATCATTATATAAGATTTCTACCTTATTCTGATTATTTTGTTGGTTCATACGTCTCCTAACATATATGTCACTTTTAAGATAAGGAACGCAGTTTTCCAAGTGTTCTCGCGAATAGTTTTCCGTTTTGCAGAACGAGCATGGATTTACCAACGATTTAGATTTCTTGCTCGAAATTTCAATATCGTTATTCATATTGTTTTTGCGTTTGTGATCACGATTGATTCTGTTACCATGGCTAATATCTCCGTCTGAGTGGTTCTTGTTAATAGGAATGCCATGGCCTTGTGAGCGAGATGAAAATTTTAACGCCAGACTTTCCTGTATGTCTCCCATTCTTTTCTTTAGGTAGTCAAACAGTTCAGACAAGTAGGCAGGATAGAAAGAAGTTTTACTATCAGGGGACCTTCCTTCATGGTAGCGTTTCAATGATCTTTTAACTTCTTCACTAGTCATGGGAAGCAAAGAGTCTAAGAAGTAAGCCACCAAATAGATGGAGTCAGGTTTGGGATCAGGGAGATAAGTGTAGGCTTGATAGTAACGATCCATGTAATCGCGAAGTTGTTCCGTTTTACCCTGTTTCATACGGATGAAGTTTTGTATTTTCTTATCAATGGTAGCGTTCAATCCAAAACGTTCTATGATCTCGCTTTTTATAGTTTCCCAACTGGTAGTATGTGGGAACTTTTTGAAGTCAACAGCGTACCAACGTTGATAGACTGGGTTTTTGCTTTTCGAAAACGAAACAGATAAGTATTTTCTCCAATACTTGTCCAAATCACAATCATTGGCAAGGAAGGGAGCCTCAAACGCATCTGCGAATGTTTCAGCGTTTTCGAAGGACGGTACGTTGTCGGTCTTGGTCTCCGCAGGGTCATCAACCAACTGGAAAATAGGTATTTCACTTCGATGGATGATGGGAGAATAGGAATGAGCATATTTGGAATCCATGGTGCTACTTTTGGTAGGGTCAAAATGGGATGTGCTGTTAGGTGAGATTCCACCTTTCATTTTCTTGACGTTTTTCTCAAGAATGTCAATGGTAGCATGGATTTTCTCTATTTCAACCGGGTTTGATTGGCAGAGCACCTGCTCGCGAAGTTCATTGATACGGTTTTCGTATCTAACAATCATGCGGTCTTTTTCATTAGTCATGGGAGGATCTAATGGTGTAAAAGTATTGGTATGATTAGTACCATTGTTATGTATGACATTGATGTCATTCATATCGTTATAGTGATGCGAAGTGAAGTCCTTGCCAACATCATGCTCATTGTTATTGGTCTGATGCGAAGTGAGGTCCTTGCCAACATCAGTATTAATAATCAAGTGGTGTCCACTATGATTACAATTGTGTATGCATGTTTCACTATTATCGATAGGAGGGACATGGTTATTAATGTTACCTTCAGAGAGGTTCGTACCTTGGGATTCAGAGGAGGAGATACCAGTGGCAGTGGAGGCAACAGAGGAGGTGTAACCAGGCGCAAGAGGGGGTCGGTTAGAGGTTGACTGATTTACATCAATCATTTCCATGTCCTCATTTTGTTGGACGTGGTCTTCTTGAGGGGAGTCTTGATGGGGGTTAATAGGGGGCATTATGGACAAAGTAGTTTAGAAATTCGTTAAAAAAAATGTGGTATTCGCTAGTTTTAATTATGAAGTAAAAGGTAAAGAATAACACAAGAGAAAATAAACACGAAAGCTTAACGAAATCAAACCACCGTCTTTATTTCTCTTTCAAAAACAAACTAAAGAAAAAGAAAAGAAAACTAAAATTACTGCTATTAATAAAGACTTATTGTGTTTGCTGTCTACGAAATGATTGTATCGGGATCTATAGCTGACACTGATGTATTATGGTCAAATAATACTCAGTGAATCAGAGGTTTCCGTAAAAGAATAGGTCTTCCCTTTAGGTGGATAATTACTCGTCCATCCCAGAGCGGATTGATTTGTAATGTGCTATCCTGGCAGATCCAGGGTGATCATGCAGCTACATCTATAATCCAATATCTATCGGCCACCAGTTGTGTAGCTCAGATACTGTGGGAATGATTATAGATGTTGGCTAGGAAGAGATATTCGTGCGTGGTGTTCTTTTGATTGCGTGAACAGTTATTGTATTAATAAAGAGTGATTGAGCCTTTTTTATCTCCAACCATACTTTATTTCCAGAACAGGGAGCAGTACCGTGACCTACTATGTTTTGGTTGTTGAATCAATATATCCTACGAGTACATATACCAATCCTGCTATATACCTGAATGTCATATAGCCATAGATAATCTAAGTAAAATATATTTCATAAAGATAACCTGTTCAAGTCTTATGTGAGGTAGCTAATCTCACATAAGAATTATCCTTAATCCATATTCTTTTCTTATCTTATCTTTATTTGTTATACATTTGATCTAAGGTTCAAATGTATGCAATCGAACACACCGCTTACCAAACGGGAATGAAGATATGAGCAGTACTCATATCTGAGATCAAGTTTTATTTTACATTTCGTTAGACGTTTTGAGTGATGATTTACTCATATAATATTGCCATCGTGCCTCAAATACGACAGTTATCCCTGCTATTTCTGAACGTATCAGAGCTACACAGAATAAGGATCATGAAAAGTTTGTTAAGAAACATAGGATTCTTGACAAGCCTATTCCTATTGGTTCTAAGGTCATGATTAAAAACGTTGTCCGTTCTGGAAAGCTTTCTCCTCGCAACGCTGGACCTTTTGTAATTGCTGGCCATACTTCGAAAGGTAGTTACATTCTTAAGGATCCTGGTACAGGCTTCCACGAACATAACGTTCCAGCACATCATATCACCCGAGTCCTGCCAGGTGTGGTCAATGATGAACAGTTTAAAGAAGAGCAAAATACTCACTTCGAGGTTCGTGCTGTCATTGATCATAAAGGCACTCCTGGTAATTATCTTTATCGTGTGCGCTGGGAAGGTTATCCTGATCCTGAAGATGATACTTGGGAACCTTCTCAATCTTTCCAATCATTAGAGCCTATCAAGAAGTACTGGAAAACAGTTGAGTTAGCTAAAACACAAGCAGCTGCTGCTTCTTCTACTTTACAAGTTCCTAAGGCTTCTAAGAGAACTTCGAAATCTTCTGTCAACAATACTGTGCCCAAGGTCGCTCCTAAGCAGATTATTAAGCATAAGTATTCTACACGAACTCGCACGCGTGTCAACCGTGCTTAGGCCATGAGTTTAACCTCTATTCTCAGGTGTAGGAAATTGTATCTTTCCCTTTCTTTTTCCTTATTTAAGGTTTTAACCATCAGGGTTTTCTGATCGACCTTCTACACTAGCCGCCTATCCATATTAATTGGTTCACTATTGTATTAACTTGTAAGTGTGGTTATACTAGTCAATATCAACCGGTACTTCTGTCTGGTTGGGGGCTATGTTGTATCCAAGATACAACTATACGTCTTAAACTACAGAACGACTTCAGTACCTGCTTGACAATCTGATACACATCTACTTTGACACCCGCTTGCGGCTAAGATCTTATCATTCTCATGATAGTTTTAGTTCAGTTGTATTAATAGTTGAATACCCGTTAATAACCCCGTTTCTCATATAAAAGTATCATTCTCAACAAACTTGAATAAAGAGTATCTTTGTTGTGTCTGGTCATTTTACTATCTTATTTTATTTTATAAGTCTTCTAAAGTAACTGGATATATCAAGTACAACGGTAAGATCATCCGTAAATTTCTTATTCTCTTTTGACGGTAGCAGTTGCTAAACATCTGCTTTTATGTTTATTTTTGGCAGATTATCAAATAACTCTCAATTCAGATGAATGAGTAAATAATGACTATTTATAGCTCTCTAACACTTTTATTGGTACAGTACGATACACGTATAATATACCAACATTAACAATTCCTATGCACAACATCCGGATGTTTTGCAATTGCTATGTGCGGAGTGCCGTTGTGCCAACACCAAAGATACAACGAAGATGCAAAGATGAACAAAGTGGAGAAACGTATGACACGACTCAATATTTAATAGCCAAAATTGACATACACAACTTTTCTTCATTCTCTAGCCATAGTTTTCGCTTACTCTACATCTCCTGTATTAACATGAACACCAACAACATGAACGGAACCTCCTCCTCCTCCCCTTTCCTCAACGTTTTCACTGCTGATGATACCACTTCTACTGAGATTATCACCAACCGAATGATTTATGACAAATTGCTTGAAATCCAAGCTGCTGTCCAAAATCCCCAAAGCTTACCACCCTCCAGTGTTGCTGGTAATCAACAAGGAGCAAATCTTGTTACCAGACATCATTGTTCCTGCTGCATTCTTCGTCGTGGTGGCAACATCCTTGGTTTGGATGCCCCTGTATCATTGGGCATAGATGGTAATAAGATAATATTTCATCTCGATGTTATAATTTACATTGAGAATGACAGTGCTGTAAACATACAGAGCTAACAATAATTTTGCTTTTTAACTTAAATTTAAACAGTTTTCGACAAAAATGCATTCAGTATTCTCGCGGGTGACCTCACAGCTCAAGAACTGAAACACTTGTTGGATACTCTCAACGATGGTGGCAGGACATTCGAGAGTGTCTCAGCAAAGTCTGAAAAGGCTGAGTGCGTAAGCATGACTGTTGAGGCGCTTCGCAGAAACTTTCGTTGGATGCACCAACCTGAAGAAGTCATTTTAGAAGAAGCAAACCGTCGCTTTGAAGTTACGTACTACTACTGTAAGGTTTTCGTACGCTTCCATCTTTCGGGTGATAAGGAGTTTAGGTGGATGGATCTCAGTAGGGGAGATCAAAACAAGTATATCGTTGCGTTCGAAGAAATGATGAGGCGCATCACCAGCTCTGATGATGTTAGCGTAACGGTGAACGATGTCATTCCGTTGAACGTCTGCAAGAAAGGCTGGGCTGCCCGTAATCTGTTGCGGTATTCTATCCGCAACCTCCACCGCAAGGCAGTTACGGGTACTTCCAATAATGTCCCTCCTGTCACCGGCCGCAGAAACCGTGCTCCCTCCCACAAACAAAGGGTAATAATCATAACATTGAGCCGTTGATACTGTACAATTTTTGTAAAATATGGGAACTAAATCTTTTCTTCTTTTTCGAAACAATACAGTGACTCACAAAAGTGTTACAATGTTTTACAAAATCAAACAAATTTCCAATTTAAATCACTATTGCACCTGATATGATTAATAAACCCCCCTCCAAACTAATATCATTAGAAAGTATATATTGTTGGGTTTCTAATGATATAACTTTCAAGCATATTAGCGTTCTTTGGAATTACTTAAACTATAGAGCTTAATTTGCATATGCGTAAAATTTTCATTTTTGTGATAGTCAGATTTATTTAAACGTGCAGTTAGTACTTTGTTTGACCACCTTTGGCTTTTATAACAGCTTCAATTCTTTTTGGCATGCTTTCGATATGTTTTAGGCATAAATCGGCTGTAACTTTATTGTACCATACGTCTCCTACTCTTTGCCAGAGTTCGTCCATATTCTTGGGTAGGGTGTCATAAGCAGCTAGCTTGCACTTCAGGTAAAACCATAAGTTTTCGATTGGGTTCAAGTCTGGTGAATAAGAAGGCCAATCTAGAACATTTATCTTGTGCTTTTTAAAGAATTTTTTGGTATATTGGGACGTATGTTTAGGATCATTATCCTGTTGAAGGATAACGTCCTTCAATTTCAGGCCATAATCCTTTAGTGTATCCATGAAGTCGCCTTTCAGAATCTCGCAATATAATTGCGAGTCCATTCCCCCCTGTATCTTGGCAATGAAGCCAGGACCATGTTGAGTGAAGCAGCTCCACAATATGAGGCTGCCACCTCCGCCTTTATACTTGTAGTTGACGTTGTGCTCCTTGAGGGGTTCTCCCTTCTTTACCCAAGTCCACTGTTTCCCATCCGATCCAAGACGATTGATTTTGGTCTCGTCGCTAAAAACGACTTTCTTCCAATCATCAACCGTCCAGTGTTTGTAGGCTTTCGCCCATTTCAACCGATCCTTTCTTCGATCATTCGTTAATGGCAATGCTGATTTTCTAATCCTTGAATCGAAATCGGATCTTTTCAGGACCCTACGTATGGTCTGTGGAGAAATATCTACTCCTTGACCCGCAGGTTCCTGGCAGCATCAACTGCTGTTATGAACTGCCCTAAGTAGAACGATCTTGCGATCATTCTCTCGAGACGATCCGAGATTAACCTAGGACGGCCGGTCTTTTCGTTGCATGCAATGTCATTAGCTTTAGCGATTCTACCAACAGTGACGTTGGATACCTTTAAACTTTTGGCGATACTTCTATGAGACTCTCCTGTACGCAGTCTAGCTAAAATATCATTTTTTTTATCGTAAGGTACGGGACGCATGTTGAGATTTGTCTAATGTTGCGGTTTTTGTGAATGGGTAAAGTAATGTAGCTAATCGAAAAGCAAAAAGGTACAAGTTTGACAAAACATGATACTCAACATTAAATTGACCCCTGATAGATTGCTGAAACTCAATAAATTCGAAAAATCCTGGGGAAAGAAGGCTCTGTAAACATTCATCATTTCAACCATCTGAATTTCTACAGATTGCGAATGTCGAATGTGCTCAAGCAAATGTATATGAATCCTAACACAAGCTATATCACTGAATAGCTTAGAACTACTACTTTCCATATCGCAAAAAAAAATCAGTGCTTAAGTATGTGCTCAAGGGGAAGAATGCATGAAAAAGTCGAAAAATTAAAATTTTTAAAAACATTGTAACACTTTTGTGAGTCACTGTACCTATTAGGATGAATCGACGGGTGTTAGCGACATCAGCAGCAGTTCTTCCACCCTTAGCTATTTGATCGATAGCATGAATGTCGGTAACAATGATCATGCTTCTGCAGGAGGTTTTGCTGACTTCAGCATTGGTGTACCTGGTGACCAGTCAACATTTTCTGGTGTTATTGCTGACGCTACTAGTAGGCAAACAGGAGATGAGAGAACTGCGTAAGTAGCCAAGGAATTAGGGTGCATTCAGCATTATGATCAGTGAGGGATAGCTCTAGCTACAGTGACCAGCAAAACTGTTCCAATGTTTTACTTTTTTGCCTTCGCTCGACGTCAACCGCAGAGTTTCAAAACATTTGAGTGACTTAATATATATCAATACAGTAGAAAGCTGAAACCGTCACGAACCTGTTACTAAAATTTTTTTTGATTATTACCGCATCTGGAAAAAGCAGGAATGCCACAAAGCCCGAGGGTGCATTGGAACAGTTTTGCATGCATACCTCAGATTTCACTAAATCATAAACCACAACTTGGCAACTGGTCACAGACGACTGAAATTTCAACCAATACTTCCCTAAATTATGAGAAACATATTTCCGTCACTTTCGGTAAATTATTTAACCTTTCAAGTAAGTTTTTCTGGGTCTCTTCGTTACTATGCGTGGTATTACTGTTGAACAGCGTGATCGTATCGTATCTCTATTGGAATCAGGTGAAAGTGTTCGTGCTGTGGCTGCTAAGGTTTGTGTCGGTGTTGCAACTGTGTCGCGAGTCGGAAAAGAGTTCTGCCCCGATAGAAATTTGAGTAAAGGAGGTAGACCCAAGCTCTTGTCTGAGGCCGATAAGCGGTATTGCGTTCGTCAAATCACCAAGGGTCGCGTAGATAATGCCGTAAAGGTTCGAAAACAACTTCAAATCGATCATGGAGTCAAGGCAAGTGTTGATACCGTTCGCAGGGCTCTTCGGCAGTATGGTTTAGGCGCGTTTGAAAAGGAAAAGAAGCCTTTGATATCTGCCAAGAATGCAAAGAAACGACTTGCTTGGTGTAAAGCGCATCGTTATTGGACAGTTGATGACTGGAAACGCGTTATCTGGTCTGATGAGACGAAGATCAATCGATTTAACTCCGATGGACGTGTTTGGGCTTGGATCCGTGACGGGGAAACGCTTCAACCGAAGCATGTAAAGGCAACTGTTAAACACGGCGGTGGTAGCATCATGATTTGGAGTGCCATTACCTATGCTGGAACCGGTTGGATGTGCCAAATAATTGGTAACATGGACAAGACGCTCTACCAGGAGATCCTCAAAGACGAACAGGAGCAAACAATTGAGTTCGCGTGCCAAAAATTGGGGTTCCGAAGGGATCAAATAGTCTTTCAGCAAGATAACGATCCGAAGCACACTAGTAATTTGGTCAAGGATTACCTTAAAAACCAGGATTATAAGGTAATGGATTGGCCACCACAGTCACCAGACCTCAACCCAATTGAAAATATGTGGCGGTTGTTGAAAATCCGCCTCAATGAGTACGAAACGTCACCAAAAGGTATGTAGGAGCTATACGAACATGTAAGTGACGTTTGGTATAAGGTAATCGATATCAAGGAATGCCAAAAGGTAATTGATTCAATGCCACAACGTATTGAGGCTTCCATCAAGGCCAAAGGTTATTGGACGAAGTATTAAAACGGAGATAAAGAGCTATTTTGGATTTCTGATCGATGCATGCAAAACTGTTCCAATAAACATCCTAATTTTAACGCATGAAAGCCTACTAAAATAAAAAAAATTTTCGCCAACTTTTTATTTGTACTTTTTAAGCGTGACTTTCTCTCTCTAATGGTTGTAATTTCAAGTTGTTCCGATGACTTTACATTGAGTTATGAAGGAAAAGGTAAGAATGGCAAAAACATTGGAACAGTTTTGCTGGTCACTGTACATGGTGGATGATACATTTTCTTTAATCAATGCAACTAAGCGATAAGTCACTTTCTGCTATCTTTTGAATAGACACGGCGTAATTCTTTTGGATGATCCTGAGTCTGCTAATGGCGTCATTGAGACACCAATTGCTGCTGGTACCAGAAAAAGGCCTTCTTCTCGTCTTGATGGCACTGCCAAAAGGACCCGGGTGATGACGCTCGCCACCTCTGCTGCTTATGTCAACAGAAGCATAAATGAAGAATAACGATGATTCTTTTTTTTCTGCTTGGTGCTTCCTTTACCAATTTCAGTTTTTAACCAATAAACAAAGGTACCGATATTTCTCTGTGCGACCATTTGGGTTTTTATTTTCGTTTCAAATACAATTATTTTTTAAGATGTGGGGGGTGGGGGCGCCTTCTTCTTTCACTTTCTTTTTACAAGGGCTCTTAAAAGCTAACAAAATACTGTTATTACATTTCAGCTTTTTTTTCATAATCTGCTCATTTAGCCACATCACCGACAAGATGCACAATGAACCGGAACATCTGAGTAATTAAGGCACGCTCATCTTTGCCATTACATTTTTGCTTATAGTTTACCTTATTTATTCAACTTAGGACTGACGAGGTCGTATGAAGAGAGTGAAGTAACGACGTCAAATACGCATAATGCCGATTATCTCATTTAGCATTGCGAACAACAACTACATTGACTCACAAAAGTGTGGCAATAATTCGGCCTTTTAACTACTTCTTGCTCTTTCTGCTCTTTTCGTCATACAATTATATACATAACAGCAAGAGTATTTTTTATGAACAAGAAGATAAAAGCTTTCTCTTTCATACGATATAACTTTTGTACTGTCTCGATAAGACTAACATAGTAAAAATTGAGTTTTAAAATGACATATATGAATTTCATGCAAATTTGCGATCAAGATTCAGGGGTAAACTACTTTTATTGAAGATTTAATACTTCGTAGGTCCACCTTTTGCGTGTATAACTGCTTGTATACGTCTAGGCATACTCTCGATGTGTTTCATACACATTTCTGCTGTAACTTTGTTGTACCAAACTTCGGCAACACGATCCCATAGCTCTCCCATGTTCTTGGGAGGTACATCGTACGCAGCTAGCTTGCACTTTAGATAAAACCAAAGATTTTCGATCGGATTCAGGTCAGGGAAGTAGGATGGCCAGTCAAGAACGTTGACCTTGTTTTTTCTGAACCATTCTTTAGTATATTTCGCAGTATGCTTAGGATCGTTATCTTGCTGCAAGATCACATCCTTCTTTTTGAGACCATAATCTTTGAGGGTCTCCATAAAGTCGCCTTTCAAGATTTCACAATATAACTTCGAGTCCATCCCGCCCTCAATCTTAGCAATGAACCCAGGCCCATGTTGGGTGAAACAACTCCATAGCATTAGGCTACCGCCACCTCCTTTGTACATGAAATTAACGTTGTGAGGCTTTAGGGGCTCCCCTTTGTTTACCCAAGTCCAAGTCTTACCATCCGACCCCAAACGGTTAATTTTGGTTTCGTCACTAAAGACAACCTTTTTCCAGTCATCGACAGTCCACTTGCTATGAGCTCTTGCCCATCTCAAACGATTGCGTCGGCGTTCATTAGTCAATGGCAATGCTGATTTCTTGATCTTGGAATCGAAATCAGATAACTTGAGCACCCTACGAATCGTTTGAGCAGAAATATCGTGCCCTTGAGCACGAAGGCTTCTGGAGGCATCCACGGCGGTTATATATTGACCGGTGTAGAACGATCTCGCGATCAGCCTAGCATGCAAATCGCTGATCTTCTTTGGTCTCCCCATCTTTGCATTAGGCTCGACTTGAATCTCTTTGGCGATTCGACCAATGGTCCTAGTAGAGACGCCAGTAGCGGCCGAAATAGCTCTGTATGACTTTCTAGCATTGAGTTGAGCTATAATATCCATCTTTTTGTCGTAAGGAATGCTTCTCATTTCACTAATTAGGATGATGCTTGCTAATGGAGGCTAATGGCAGATTGATTTGAATTTAACTTAATGTTAAGAAGAGAAACGCTTCAAAATAAGCGTTTCGCATGAATATAAAACTAGGAACCTGGTTTCGATTGGCTGACTTCGAAACTCTTTCTTCCTTTTCACAAAAAGTTGTGATGATCATCATGCTGTGAATGGCGAGATTTCGCCATTTAGCAATGACAACTGTTACAATCAGTAAATCTGAAGCGAATGCAATGAAAAGCACACCAAACTGTAGCGAATAGAGTCTACTTCAAATATAAATAAGAAACAGAGTGTTTTTTGTAATTGATTATGGAAGGAAAACTAGAAAATCAAAAATCACAAAACATTGCCACACTTTTGTGAGTCACTGTAAATAATCTTTCCAAGCAGGTATTTTATTATTGCCCCAGATCAAATACTACTCTTCGTTTTACTTTTACAACTCATGGTCAGCAGACGTTATGTACTTATACCATATCTTCAATTGACACTTTTTTTCTATAGAACTCAAGCTTGTGGCTTTTGACCAAACCCTTTCTTCAACTGTTTCATGTCTTCCATCCGCTGGGCCAATACCAACGCTCTCAAGTACAGTTGCAGCCTTCATTGCAAAAAGGAAAACACAGTTACATTTATGGTTGCAAGCAATCTGTTTCGTACATATCAGGTAATCATACAACATTATTTTTTATTTCATAACCTTATACCATCAACTTATTCATTTGTTTTACTTCTTTCTTCTGCAATAATTAAAAGTACAGTGCTGCTATTAACCGGCTCACAAAAATATAAAATGATCTGTACAGTGCAATAATTACGTCAGAGCTACGAAATAAAGACCACTAGATAGCCCAAACGTCATAGTATAAGAAAGGAAGAATGACGTAATCATATGTTGTTACACAAAGCTGCAAATAAAAAAACTTGATTTTGGACTAAATGTAAAATGATACAAATATGATTCAGTGTACCTTAAACTCTATTTTAGCGTACCTGATGCAATGATAACGTATCATTATGATGTAGAGAAGCTGAAAAATATATAAAGGCGACATTTTTACACAGTTTTCCCCATTACACTCTCACTTTTATCTCTCACAACTACTTCTCTACAATGCCATATAAACTCAGTAACGACAAACGAAATGACGTCATTTCAATGATCAAGGCCGGAAAGGGTACTAAAGACATTGTACAAGCAACTGGAGTGTCTAAAGCCCAAGTTGTTCGCATGAAAAAAGAACATGATCCTGATCGCATTAAATCTCGTGGTGGTAGAGTCAGTATTGTGTCCAATTACACAAAGCGAGTCATATCTTTTAGAGTCCGAAAAGGTTTCTTATTATCAGCAAAAGATGTCCAAAGATATCTGTGGTCTCTTGGTTACAAATCTCAATACTCTTCCACAACAAGACTCATGAGATCCCTTGGCCTTAATTCTCTGTATAAAAAAAAGAAGCTTTTCATCAAGAGAATCAACCAGAAAAAGCGATTGCAATGGGCCAAAAAACACCGTGACTGGACTGTAGAGGACTGGAACAAGGTTATATTTTCCGACGAAACCAAAATTAATAGATGGGGATCAGATGGAGCTCAGATTACGTGGAAGCATAAGGGACGACCCACTTCGACCCCATAATTATCAGACTCAATTAAAAGGTGGCGGAGGCTCAATGATGGTTTGGGGATGCATGACATCATTAGGAGTAGGTTACGCATGCCGTATTATCGAGTATCCTATGAATTCAGAACTGTACACCCATATCTTGGCTACTTCGTATAAGGATACACTTGAGTACTTTGGTTTTAGCAACGAGGAAGTCATCTTTCAACAGGACGGAGACTCAAAACACACCTCGCAATACACAAAAAAATGGCTTGCAGACAATGGAATAAGGTATATTGAAGACTGGCCACCAAATAGTCCCGATTTAAATCCGATTGAACACCTTTGGCACCATGTCAAGTTGAAGTTAGATGCATACGACACTAAGCCCAGAAATATGAATGAATTGTGGGATAGATTCGATAAAGAATGGAATAAATTCACTAAAGATGACATGAAGAAGTATTACGAAAGCATGCCCAAAAGAATCGAAGAAGTCATCAAGGCTAAAGGTGGATATACTAAGCGCTAATGTTTTGTAGCCTGATTGATTTTACAGTGATTTTTACATTTTTTCATATTCCGCCCAAATTTCCTAAATAGTATTTTATAAAATTTTGTTCAATAAAACTATGTTACTTAAGCAATATTCACTCAAAATTTGAAGAGTCTAGCTTCATTTCTGCAGAAGTTATCTTAAATTATATTTTTGTGAGCCGGTTAATAGCAGCACTGTAGTAGACTGTAAGAATATTGATGAAACACGGTTGTCAGGTAAAAATTGTCACTGTCATTCATACTGGACCTTCGTCAAACAAATGAACCACACGCTTACTTGTAGAAGTACTTTATTTTGCTGTAGGAGTGTCTAAGGACAATATGTGAACAAACAGACCGGCTACTTCTTTGCAACTGTGGTTTTGCAATTTTCAGTAACTTATTAACGCTCATATTTCAAGCAATAATGCCGTACAAATTGCGTTATTACACTTAGACACATACTGTAACCAATTGATAATCCAACCCCTGTGCAATTTAGTAACTTTCAAATAGCATGAGAGCTCGTTATATATACAATATATTGTATCATGAAGTTAGAGTAGCCTACTGTATAAGTAATCAATAAATAACCCTGAAATAAAGCTATAATATGATTTTCTGGCTGTACAGTAAGCAGCAGCCACCCATGTGAATAATGTACTAGGCTGACAAATGTAAGGACAAAATAAAAGCGTGCCACCATGAGGGTTTCATTGAACCACGCGCTATTCATGCTGGCATCGTTATTGCTTTCTACCATGAAAATTGCGCGGTAGCATGTTTAAGTCGATTTAGCATGCACTATTCATGGTAGCATGAACTTTGCGCGGTAGCACGCATCCCACGCATCGTTGCATGCTAGCATGCTATTTTCAACGCAATTTGCGTGCTACCATGTTCAATGCACGGTGAAAATGTAAACGGTGTAGACCACCATACTTCTGCTCTACCTCTTAGATGGTTGCCGACAATAATCAATATAGCTGAATCGACTAACTCTAACCCGACCCTAATCCTATCAACTTGCTTTAACCACAAAAGTGCGTTTTCTTCTTTTCTTTCACCTGTGAATATATCTGGTTTTGCTATCATATTACTGAGGATTCTACTCTGTGCTTCAGTCATCTTGTTCTGTATTAATTCGCTCGCCATAAAAATTAATCCCAAAGTTTTCCCAATAATTCCAACTAGTTTTAACAGTCCAAAAATGATTTGCTTGCCCCTGGTAGCTTCGCCAAAAATGATATGCTTATATCGTGTATAGGTGTGTATAAAGCTTCTGACGCACTTTATAGTACAAGGTTTATTGATGGAGAAAGGCCCTTTTATTCTTTAGATCAAGTTATTCTTTATATACATTTTCTTAAATTAATTGCACACCATATCCTCTCTACCAACTCCGATCTCTTGAGCTATCCTACCAACATCATGAGCTATTTCCAATCACATGACGGAGTTCTAATTATTTCCACGACAATTATTTACGATCACATCAACATTGATATGGATTATATCGTGAAAGAGAATTTATAAAGCTCTGACCAACTTTATAGTACAAAATTATAGATGGAGAAAGGCCCTGTTCTCTTTATTATACTTCATCTCATTAAATACCCCAGATTAAGCTATAACTACATACTTCTACTCTCCGATTACTCTTAGATACACCCTCTTCGGTCCAGTGCTGCTTATAAAATCATGTGACCGGCTTTTCCTTGAATTTACGATGACAATCTACGTCACGCATAACAACATTGATACAGTGACTCATGTGGTATTTGACGACTTGTGGAGTTAAATATCACTTAGTTAAAACAATAAAAAGTTAACGAGATCAAACTAGTACGTTTTATTTTGAATCAAGTTAAGTTCAAAGAGAAGAAAAATATCTACTGCAAAAATTTAAATATCTTCTTCATATTGCGGAACCTAGAAACTGGCAGCTGAGTTATTCTACTCAAAGAAGACGTACGTCTTCTGAACCGTAAAAGAATAGAATTCTCCCTTGAGGAGATTACGCATCTACCCGGAGCGGGTGGACTTGTAAACGTATCCATGGCTTGATCTAGTGATCATGCAACTAACCTATTTTCCCGTGCTAACCATTATGTAGCACTGCTTGCAGGAAAATAGTATTAATTAGGAAAATAGTATTCGTGCGTGGTGTTTGAGTTGAGTGAACAGTTATTGTAAAGGATGATCACAACCTATTATCTTGTAATCATTCTTTATGCCGAAGGCAGAGAATAGTACTTATAACCTATTATACCTTGGTGTTGAATCAATATATCCTGCATGTCCATATATTAATTCTACTATATATCCTATGTCATATAGTAACGTATTATAGCAAAATAAGTAAACTATATATCCTAAATGACAACCTGTTCAGCCTTATACGAGGTAGCTAATCTCGTATAAGAATCATCACTTATTCTATATTCGTTTCCTACTCTACTTTATATTATTTCAGCAGTAATGAGGTGTGAGGATCTTGTATAATTTGTATACGAGGTCTCCACATCTCATATGATGCTGTCAACTAAACACAACACTTAATTCACGGTACTCATATATTAGAGTTTATGTAGTTTCTAATTATTTCTGGTTTGCAATATTGTATAATTCATCTTTATCCTTCATAAAGTGAATTATATCTTTAATATTTGTATATCATCTACCCTCAAATACGACACTTCTAATCACGTGACGGAGTTATAATTATTACCACGACAATTATTTACCATCATATCAACATGTCACTGTTTAAGTATATAATGTACCGAACTAACAAAGGTTCGACCCGTAAAACAAAACTTAAGATAGTATATAAAAACTTGAATGATCCTTTATTATACTTTGATTATTCCTCTACTTATATAGTCAAGATATCTAAAGGTTTATGAACATAATTAATATAATGATTAAGATAATTATAAATCTATAGATATGTACATTACAGTGCTGCTATTAACCGGCTCACAAAAATATAAAATGATCTGTACAGTGCAATAATTACGTCAGAGCTACGAAATAAAGACCACTAGATAGCCCAAACGTCATAGTATAAGAAAGGAAGAATGACGTAATCATATGTTGTTACACAAAGCTGCAAATAAAAAAAACTTGATTTTGGACTAAATGTAAAATGATACAAATATGATTCAGTGTACCTTAAACTCTATTTTAGCGTACCTGATGCAATGATAACGTATCATTATGATGTAGAGAAGCTGAAAAATATATAAAGGCGACATTTTTACACAGTTTTCCCCATTACACTCTCACTTTTACCTCTCACAACTACTTCTCTACAATGCCATATAAACTCAGTAACGACAAACGAAATGACGTCATTTCAATGATCAAGGCCGGAAAGGGTACTAAAGACATTGTACAAGCCACTGGAGTGTCTAAAGCCCAAGTTGTTCGCATGAAAAAAGAACATGATCCTGATCGCATTAAATCTCGTGGTGGTAGAGTCAGTATTGTGTCCAATTACACAAAGCGAGTCATATCTTTTAGAGTCCGAAAAGGTTTCTTATTATCAGCAAAAGATGTCCAAAGATATCTGTGGTCTCTTGGTTACAAATTTCAATACTCTTCCACAACAAGACTCATGAGATCCCTTGGCCTTAATTCTCTGTATAAAAAAAAGAAGCTTTTCATCAAGAGAATCAACCAGAAAAAGCGATTGCAATGGGCCAAAAAACACCGTGACTGGACTGTAGAGGACTGGAACAAGGTTATATTTTCCGACGAAACCAAAATTAATAGATGGGGATCAGATGGAGCTCAGATTACATGGAAGCATAAGGACGACCCACTTCGACCCCATAATTATCAGACTCAATTAAAAGGTGGCGGAGGCTCAATGATGGTTTGGGGATGCATGACATCATTAGGAGTAGGTTACGCATGCCATATTATCGAGTATCCTATGAAATCAGAACTGTACACCCATATCTTGGCTACTTCGTATAAGGATACACTTGAGTACTTTGGTCTTAGCAACAAGGAAGTCATCTTTCAACAGGACGGAGACTCAAAACACACCTCGCAATACACAAAAAAATGGCTTGCAGACAAGGGAATAAGGTATATTGAGGACTGGCCACCAAATAGTCCCGATTTAAATCCGATTGAACACCTTTGGCATCATGTCAAGTTGAAGTTAGATGCATACGATACTAAGCCCAGAAATATGGATGAATTGTGGGATAGATTCGATAAAGAATGGAATAAATTCACTAAAGATGACATGAAGAAGTATTACGAAAGCATGCTGCCCAAAAGAATCGAAGAAGTCATCAAGGCTAAAGGTGGATATACTAAGCGCTAATGTTTTGTAGCCTGATTGATTTTACAGTCATTTTTACATTTTTTCATATTCCGCCCAAATTTCCTAAATAGTATTTTATAAAATTTTGTTCAATAAAACTATGTTACTTAAGCAATATTCACTCAAAATTTGAAGAGTCTAGCTTCATTTCTGCAGAAGTTATCTTGAATTATATTTTTGTGAGCCGGTTAATAGCAGCACTGTATAACCGATAAGTGATATTATAATTAAAAGGGGAGAGAGTACATTCTTCAGGTTATATTATCTTCGTCTACTTTGTATCCGTATAGCTTTCTGCACGTTAGGTTTAAACCTTTTTTTATCTACATCGAGGCTGATACGTTTCGACTCCGAACTTCGCCTTTTTCTATTGTTAATGTCGTCACCCTTATCAACAATTGGAATGGCGCCGTGCACGTGACTGGTTGTTCCATGGTCTCCAATTGGATCAAACTCCGCTTCGACAAACATTGATACGTTTGCGGTGCTAGTTCGTGAATTGATGATATAAATATGATAGTTTTACGCTTGAATTCTAATAGCCGAGACTGGTATTTTCTTCCAAGAGTTGTCTTATTAAAATTATTGAGAGTCTTTTCAATCAATCAGTTGTTTCAATCAGTTTCTATTCAATTTCAATCAGTGTTTTCTCAAATAACAAATAATAGGACTAGCTAAAATAAATATAATATCAAAACTAAACTTTAGGTGGTCTATTTATTCAAAATCAAAGATCAAATCTCTTCTCTTTTTCCCAAAAGGCCTTGTTTACTGTCAAAAGAATTAATTATTCTTTTATACCAGATCAAACAATCTGAGTTCAGGGACGGTATTATTGAATATCCGCTTCCAATAAGAATTTACCAGAGGATGAGCATGACTTGACGGGTGTCCGGTCCAGCATACTCCTCCTCCGGTTCGATCTCCGATGTTGCTGATGTAATTTTTCAATATTCCACGCTCCGTGACAACATGACACGTTAGGAGTAGTAGTCCGTGAAATAACTACAGTTGGTGGAAAAATGGTCCGGATGTTTTACAACTTTTACGTTTTTTAGGTGTTACTTGATGAATTCTGGGTCAATTAACGTGAAATAAAAAATAATAAAGAGAAAAAACTCTGTTTTAATATGTGTAAAAGTTTCAAAGAATTTTATTGGATATCGGTGTATTAAATTTATTTCAAAAATAGTATGTTCATCCGGACCATTTTTCAGGTACCATAACATTACACTTTAATACTTTGTATATCCACCTTTTGCCTTGATAACTGCTTTGATTCTTGCTGGCATGCTATCTATATACTTCTGACAGTCTTCCTTAGTGAAGGTAGCCCACTGCTCCTCGACTCTTTGCCACAAATCATGCACACCTTTTGCTTTGGTTGGGTAGGCACTTGAGATATTCTTAAGTAATTTTGTAGACCAAGATAGAACGAGACCGAAAAAGTCAGATAATCTTTATTTCAATTTTGAGAACATGAAGGCTTTATATATTTTTCAGAGAGTTAGCTGAGCTTATAGAGGATGTTAGGAAGATGTAGTTACAACCAATGAGTACTAATGGATCTAATGAGAGATTAGTGAAGGCGTGTTCTAACACTGTTATGGATCTGATACCAGTTTGACTTGTGAACAATTGCTTAATCGACAATTCAAGTCTAAGATGACAGCCGTTTATGCTGTGTTTAAATTAATTAATTCTCACTCGTGTTTCGATACTGTAGACAGTGGTCGGGACATGACAGCACTAAGCTTCAACTTTAAGTGATGCCAGACATGTT